TATAGTTCTCAGTAAAACAGCAGAAGTATTTTTCCTTCTCACACAGTCAGACTAACACACACACGCACACAAACACACATACACACACACACACTGCTGCATGCCTGCTCACATTCCTTCTGAAAGCTCAGCAGCCAATCGGCAATGGGCATGCAAATGAGATGGGTGTGTCTTTTTAAAGCTGGAGTACAGGGTCTGAACGGAGAGTAGAATAGAATAGAATAGAATAGAATAGAATAGAATAGAATAGAATAGAATAAAATAGAATAGAATAGAATAGAATGAGAACAGCGAGATCAGAACATGACATGTAGTGAAAAACATAAAATGGATGCAGGATAAAAAGTATGTGTAGAAGTGTGTGTGTGTGTGTGTGTGTGTGTGTGTGTTTGTCAGTAGAAAACTGAGAGAGAACACAGGGAGGTCAAAACACCTCACAGCTTGAACCTCCTGCACTGTCCTTACCTGACCTCACTGTTGCATGTGTGTGTATATACATGTATGTGCATCTTCTGATCCAGTTCTATACATTACATAATGACTTACAGCTGAACCAATCAGTCGATTAATTGATTCTTTAAGCGACAGAAGATAATTGCCAACTACTTTGATAGCCAATTAGTAATGAAGTAATTTTTAACTTTTAATCTTCTATCTTTCTATTTGATGCTTTTCATCATCATATATTAGAGTAATATGAATATCTTTGGATTTAGGACAGTGTAAAATTACAGTAGGTATTTTTCATTATTTTCTGACATTCTACAGACAAAAAAGTGAATGGATTGATTGAGAAAATACTGAAAATAATCATCAGCTGAAGCCTGAAGTGAATGTGCACTGTGGTACACTTGTATTATAAGCTCACATCCATACTTTGCTAATTTATGTTCCATTCATACTCAACATGTTTTGAAAATGGCCCTCTGGTGTGGCACGCAGTTAATAAAATGTTAAAATGGTGCACAGTGGTTACTATGGTTACAATGGCTTCTGGCCCTGCATGAATTTATGCTCAATAAATCCCATTTCTGGGCCTCAAACATAACAGAGAAGGAAATCAGTCCTAACTGACCCAAAAGTCTCAGAGTAACACTTCTCTTCGACTTTTAAAATCTCATCTTATCTAGAGCTGAAATAATTATGAGAAATAATTGATTGATCAATGTTTTCTTTAAATCATTTCAAGGAAAATCAAAACTTTCAAACTTCTCAAGTGAGAGGATTTGCTGCTTTTTTGGATTATGTGGTAGTGAATGGCTGGACAAAAAAAAGAATATGAAGATGTCACCTTGGTCTCTGGGAAGCTGCCGTGGCAATTTTTCACAATTATCTCACAGTTTATAGACCAAATGACTAATCTATTTAATCATGAAAATAATTGTTGTTGCAGCCGTACTTTAATTTCCTTCAGGATTTAGGAGACCTACATGCAGAGCAGAGTTCCCGGTAGGAGGTAAATGATGTTATCCATGCATGATCCATGCTGGATGTTGTGGTCAAATGGTCCAGTGCACATGACGCATTGATGCAGATGGATCATGAGAGCAGTTGCCACTGATCGACCTTGAAGCATCTGTACAATTCACAAACTGTGAGCAAGTCATGTTCACAATTCAGTGATGGGATTTACCTCTACTCTGTGGAAAGACAGAAGGTTCATCAGTAACTTTAAAGTTCTACTCTACCACTCTGAGGATGTCAAGACCTGCTTTAACCACAGTAATTCTGAGATTCCCACATTAATGGCTCATTTCTCTGTAAAATAATTAGCAGCCATCGGCCCTACTGATAATGATTGACAATTCACTTCATCTTTTTCTTCTTGTCTACACTGACTATTTCTTCAAGGGGTATCTATAGTGCACTGGAGGAGACAAATAAAATTCAAAGCAGGAAGTGTGTGTGAATACTTGCTGTACTGCACCAATGAAAACACTCCCCCCACATTTAGTCAAACTGTACATATACAGCCTGTTGCACTGCCTGAATAAGCAAAACTGTGCTCTCCACTCATCTGTTCATACTGGCATTTTCTCAACACTGAAGCTGCTATAATCAATATTTTCATATAACAGTGGATGAAATGTGTGTAATGTGAAAGATGTTGTTCATGGTGACGAGCCAACACAGACTCTGCAGGTCCTCTCAGCTCTTTGGAGCTTTATAGCATCTTTCCGCTCTTTCTTTGGATTTTATGCCCCAAAACTTTACTGTTCTGGTTCGGCCTCATTGCAAATGATTGTACGCTACCTGTGGAGCAAAACTTTGAATTTGGAGGTTGCTGAGGCAAGTTGGTGGTGACATGTAAATAGGCAACTGTTTTCCGATAAGTTCATCATATCAGTTTTTGTAAGATGATAAAATGTCAGTGTTGTGTTATGAGCTCATCTCTGATGCACAAATGGCCAAGAAATTTGTTAATGTGGGTTTAAACAAGTAAAATACAATCATCAATGTTGAGAAAGGTAAATAGTGAAATAGAAAATAAATCTGGCAAATGTGAGTCAAGAGTTGCATGCCCTTTTACATATTATTACATTGCTAGCCATATAGAAAAATAATGGCGCAATTTCAATAGATTATCTGCTGTCAAAAAGTCAAAGCAGATCATGATCAAGTGTCCACTGTTGAGGCAGAGAGCCACTGAGACCTGCTCGTATCAACGTCCCATCCTTTTCCACACAAATGCAATAAAGAGGATGAACACAAAGTTGGAGATTGATAATGAAGAATAAACATAAACCTCCCTGTCATATAGTTAGTTTTCTGTCCATCAGTGACATCCAGAAGTTAATGATGCTGTGATTCACCATCCATACAACAAAGCTGCAGATTATAGACTGAGGAGAGGTCAAAATTTGGTCCATTCACTGGACTAAAATATGTATAAGTATTGTCTCATCAGCCGTCCTTTCCCATGTCCTCAGTGGTACAGCCCAGCCTAGCGGCTTCACAGCAGAGTGGACTACTTTATTTAGAACAGAGACAGAGGGGTACAAACCACAAGCAGACTGCTTGGCTGACTCACTGACTAGAATAGAGAAAAACTGTTTGAAAAAGAAAAAGAGAGAATGACACAGAATGGAAAAGGAGACAGTGAGGATAGAATAGAAACAAAGATATTGTACTTCCTACTAACACAGTCACTGGTACTGTGATATTTATCAGAAAACTCTCAATGTGCCGTGGTGAAGCAGTTCTGTCTGTCCTCACTGTTTCCTCGAATTAAGAGTGCAAAGATCGGTCAAGCATGCCGTGCACAGAGGGCATGGCAGTGTACTTTTGGCATTTTGTGGCCGGAGGTGCCCAGCACACCCGCAGTTCGCTGGGAAACAGGGTGGGATGAAAAGGAATAAATTGCCATAAATTATGGGCAGGTAGCAGTCATCTCATTGCAGCTCCATTTTAATTGAGCCTGCATGAAACAATTCCCCATTAACACCCTTTACTATAAGCGGAGAAGTTTGTATTTTTCTTATTTAACACGTGTGTTTCCTGTCGCACCACTGTTGCATCTTCAACCAGCACAGTGAAGATTGTATTGATTAACAAGCATGATTCTGCTCGACCACATCCTGTTGTTCATTATAGCCACGGTTCGTCCTCTACTGAAATTAAAAGACAATGTCTCAGGTGTTGTGGGAGGTGATGCATGCAGCTGTTGCCCCCAGTAACCTGTTGTTTTTGGATGAGGATATGGAGAGAGAAGTGGTGGGAGCAGGTGGTTTTTGAGGGGGCTCAGAAGATTTAATTGTCATCTGATTTTTCACAGGCTGTACTGTGTGTCTTCTGCCTCTGTAAAGTGTCACCTCGGGAGATTGTCACTGCAAAACTGAGTTATGTGCACATGAAAAGTGTACAATTATTCTGCAGTACCATGGAGCTAGTGGAGCAGGATTTAATTAAGTTAACTGCTGTAGATATGGCACACATGATTGTAAAATGACAGTGTATAAGTGAGATAAAACTTGCATATAAGCAGTTAATGGAAATCGGCAACAGTTAACTAAAAGTTATACTTATAAGTTAAGAATTAAAAGGTAGAGGCAATTAAAATATAAGAATAACCACCTTATTTCAATATTATTTGGGGTTGTAATTAGACATTATTCTCATTATCAATGAATCTACCAAACATTGTCTGAATTAATCTATTAAAAAAATGGCCATCACACATTCAAAGAGCTCATGGAGGCATCTTATGTTGTTGTTCTGTGCGTGTGTTAATACTTAAATGATTAATCAATCATCAACACAGTTGCTGTCAGCTGACTAATCAATTCGTTGACCAATTATTTAAGATCTAATATTATTCAAGACTTAAACTTAATGTATGACTTGACTTGAAGTAATTAAGACTTTCAATACTGAGTAAGTTGATTAAGTTGATACAACATGCCTTAATCCTAATTAAAGTTTGATTAGCAAAAACACTTGACAAGTTAATTGAAAAGTAATGAAGTCTAATATAGGCAATGTATTTACTGCACATTGGTCAATTAATAGTTTGAAGCACATACACACACACACACACAGAGAGAGAGAGAGAAAGAGAGAGAGAGAGAGAGAGAGTAATAATCAGGTGTGCTGCTGGGGACTGCAACACCTGTCAGCTAAAAACAAACACACACACACTCACACACACTCACACTCACACACACACACACAGTTAACCAGTATCTCGCCTCCAGCCTCTATGTTCCCAGTCTCACATATTGGTTTACACAATTACACACACACTTACGCACTCAGTGTACGAGCCCCGGATGTCAGTCAGGATCTAATAACTACACCGCCCTCCTGAGGTCCGGCTCCGGGCGGAACAGGCAGGAAAGGTGCGTTTGATTTAAGCGACTTTAAATGCAGGCATCTGACTTCTAGCAAGAAACAGCACAGCTGTGTAGTTCATAGGCATCAACATGTAGAGAGTGGGATGAAATAATGACAAGCTAGGGAAAGTCGAGCTATAGGTAAATGCAATTAGCATGAAGACTCACCACATTAGTGAGGAAATCTCCGTCGCTGAGTTCCTCCAGGTCCAACAGGTTGGTGCCTCCGGACGGGTAGAGTTTCTCTGCTGTTAAACTGTCTAAGATAGACTCCATCATGACTGTCTGTGTCTGTGAGGCTCACTGGACTGATGGTCAGTAGCTCTATGGACTGGCGGTGAACGCAGATCTTAAAATCAACTCATTAAAAACGCAGCGGTTTGTTTTCTAACGGCCGCCGCGCGCTGCGTTTAGCGTCCTGCCGTTATTTTCACCGTCTGAACGTGTCCAGTCGCTGCTTTTCTTTCACTGACAAAAGTTGAAAAATGTCGAAATTTCACATCCTTCTCCTGCTGTGGCGGAGACGCTGCTATCCATCCAGCTGTGAGCGTGAAGCTGACTCTCCCCCCGCGTGTGCTGTCTCACCCACGCTACAATGAATATTCAGTGACCCCGCCCCGTGGCGTCAAATAACGAGCACGCGCATTAGCCTTAATTGTCCTCATTATCATAATTAAGGCTAATTACGTAAGTATACTTTTGAGTTCGTTTCAGAGGGAAATATTGTACTTTTTACTCAATGGTGGAAGAAACATTTTGGCTTAGGTAAAAGTAGCAAGACCACAATGTAAAAATACTTGATTACAAGTAAAAGTAAAAGCATAAACATTTTACTTCATTAAAAGTACACAGGTTTTGGAAAAAGAGCACTTAAAGTATCAATTGTCAATGTTTTATTATTATATTATTGGACTTTCTATGGTTTAATCAATAACAATGTCATGTTGAAATATTAATCTGATAAGTAACTAATAACTATAGCTAAATGATGATCTGAACTCCCTCTGACTCTAAGTCAAACAATGAAGTATCAGAAAATAAAGTAAAGTACATTAAAAGTTTATTGTACAGAATTAGAGTAGATGTACTAAGTTACTTTTCACCATTGTTTTTACTCCAATGTATCTATCTTACATCTCATCAGCCAAAATAGATGAAAATACCTTTTGGGGTGTACAGAGCCTTTGGGGGCCATGTTTAGTTTATTCATTGGATAGAGTTTTTTCATGTTTATGTGCATGGTTGCTGACTAATATGGCTTCCTGTGACACAGATGGAACTAGGCCCTTCTGAGAGTTATTAGTTCCACCTGGACTTGTCCAAACATCTGCTATAGAAAGGTCAATGGACAGGCAAGGAATGGACAGAGTGCATTGGATGTAATATTACCCCCTATAGGTAAGAGGGAATAATTGCAATTTGATTTAACTTGACATTATATTATGATAATCACAGTCTATGATGATCAGAAAACACTTTAAATGTGGCTCCAGCAACACCGAACACAGTTACTGCAAACTTTGTTCATATCAATGACAAAAATTAGATTGTGATCTACCTGCACTCATCTTTGAGCCTTGGGAAAGACATATTGTGATATGTGCCTGTGGTGAGGAATGTGTGTGTGAAAGACAGAGAAAAAGACAAGTGGCTAAAGAGACTGTTTTGACACTCCAAGATACTGCCTCCAGCAACAACACACACACACACACACACACACACACACACACACACACACACACACACACACACACACACACACACACACAGGAAGGTGGGAATGAAACAGATATTTCTTCCTCTTCCATGATTACTGAGGCTCACCCCTCTCATTCTGCCCTAGATTGTTTCTCCTTTGAGACACCGAGACAGAGAGACGGAGAGATTGAACTACCTGTACAGCAGGGTGAGAGAAACTGTGTCCATTGTGTTGCAGGTATCAGAGGTGCGTGTGTTTGTGCACTGTAACTCTGACCTGTTACACAATCTGAATTGATTTCAGTGAAAGAGACATGTAAGAATGACATTTACAAGTGTTGTTTATTTACTTATTTATATCTTTTAGCCACCAGCATTGCCATCCATAGAGCCACTCAGTCTGTCCACCATTTTAGTCCAGACTGAAATATATCAACAGCTTGTCATGAAATTTGGCACAGGCATTCATGGTGCCCAGAGGACACATCCATACTGACTTAGGCAATCCCATGACTTCTCCTAAAGCACCACTATGAGGCTGGAATTTTTGGTTTTGTGTGAAATGTCTCAACATTAACTGGATGGATTGCGATGAAATGTTCATGTCCCCCTCAGATGACTTGTAATCCCTTAACTTTTCAACTTGTGGCATCTCCAGGTCCAAATTATGAGTGTTCCAGTATTTTGGTGTATGACAAAATACTTACAAATTCAATGATATTCCCATCAGTCTGTGCTTTGTGTTTAATGCTGATAGACTGTAAACATGGGAAATATTATGCAATTCAGAGGATTGGAGTCTCAGACTCTACTTAACAAGATCAGAAAACACTTCCAACATTCTTAGCCCCAGAGACTCAGGATTTCATTTGAACCCAAGGCCCCTCAGTGTATTGTTCGATCGAGGTCATTGCAGAGGGTGTGGTAGAGGTGAAAAGACAGAGCTCCTTTGTCATCACAGACTACAGTGATTACCATCAGGCATCTGTGTGTATGTTTTATGTTCCTATTCAAAGCCAGCTGTTACGTAACGATCTCCTGTTACTCTTCAACCTCTTTCCACCTGACTTCTTCTTATTTCCGTCCTTGTTTTTCTTTATCTGTTTTCCTTTTCGATCATTCCTGCTTTCTCTGCTTCCACCCATCCTCTTTACTCCCTCTTTTCTCTATCCACATATCAGTTTACGGAGGTGTCCCGCCACAAGGGACAGGATGTCTCTGTATTTCTATCACACATTGTGGTTTTGTGTAACTGTGGTGACCTTCCACTGACTACAGTAATTCTGTCCCTAAACTTGATTAATCCTAATTCACTTTTAAAGGTGCACTGTGGAGTTTTTGACCACCAGTTGCACTGTTGAGCAATGTTGTCATGAGAGGACGACTATTTTGCTTGTATCACTTGTTGTGGTGGGTGATGTGATAACCAGCAGGATGGTAATGTATGTAGACAGTTGGATAAAATTTAGCAGTTTGCCAGTTAACCAGGAGAAGAAGAACACTATAAACAAATGTAAAGAACTTACAACACACTTTGTGTTTACAAAAGTTTTATATAAGGCAGGAAATGCTTTCTACAAGTGTTTGTTGGAATGAAAACACTGTGTGGTACTTTTCATTTGAAACCCAAAACAAATATAATGCTATGTTTTTTATTACATCATTTTAATTATTATTTATAGCCTGAGTAGTGAGGATCTGTATTATTACAGCACACATGCAGTTACCACCTGTCACCAGAGGTGTCGCCAAATCAATCACAACTGAAATCCTAAAGTTGTAATTGTTTTCTTTTTTTGCCACTTGGAAGCAGCAGAACGAGCTGTAAACACATGATCATATTATCACCTTATAAATTTTTATAACCTGTATTCATGTCACTTCAGCGTGAAATCAACTTGATGGTGTGATGAATGGAAACAAATGGCTGTTGGCAACAAAGGAGAAACTCAATGCAGCTCAGCAGAGCTAAACATCAGTCAGCTTTTATGGAAAGTAAGTAAGGAAGTGCCCACCTCCTCCTGCACATGACAAACAGTCCAGGATGCACAAAGGCTGCATGATAAAGAATTTATGCCATTTTACATACTTAACTTTCACATATTATTACAAGGTAAATAACTGTTAACCTTACATTGTATATTAACTGCTGATTCCATGTAAGACCTCAATGTAATTAATGTATTTATTTTATACAAACTTGACTTTTTGTCTGTTTGAATGCAAGAGCTTTCTGATTGGTTGTTCATCTGTTGATGCATGTCTTGAGAGGCAGCTTTCTGATTGGCTGTTGGTGTGATGCTGCAGGTATGACTCATCCTCTATTCCTGACACAGGGTTCTGACCTTTCATTTCCTTGGTGACCGCCGTGATGTCATCACCTCTTGTCGTCATTCATTGTTGTCATCATCCTCTTCTGCCGCCAGCTGTCTGTCTCTCGCATCCACATTGGGGATCGCTGGGTTGACAATTAAGAAGAGCGGTAACATCAAAGCATTGAGGTGGATAAAAACACAGTTTATGTGTCTGTGTGAGTCAATGATGGGTTCACTGTCACCACCAGACAATTAGTCCTTATATCGTCTCTCTATCTCAACCCCTGTGCTGACAGGCGCATTCACAGTAACACCCACTCATGACTGTGAATATAAATTCATACTTTGATATTAATGACCTCTATCTCCAGGCAGTGGTCAGGGCCAGCACAAGACTTTTTGGAGCTCGTAGCATCACTCCCCCCAACTGCACACCTTCACCACAACCACTCAACCTATAGCTGCACCTGAAATATAATACAGTATAGTATAGTAACTAGTACTAATGGTAGTGTACTGAGAAATAGCAAAATGTAACAGAAGAAGAGAAGCCAAAAGGAGACAGTAAATAACTCGGCCCACCACTGCCTTTTCTACTCCATTACGTCCAATACATGCATGTACTGCTGGCCATAAATATTATCAGAAAAATGGGTTTTAGTGTAAAGAAAATCTGAGTGATTGTGAGTTTGTGTTTGTACATAAAGCTCAGAGGGTGCATGTGGTTGGCTGGCAGGTGGTAGCTGGGTGGAGGAGTTGATGTATAATAAGTAGCGGGCAGACAGGGAGGTATGATGGAGAGTAAGTGCACAGTCAATTTTCCCATAATGTCTTTACAAGTGGCTGGAGATAGAGCAGACTGTATAAACAGTGTCGTCAGACTCAGTGTGGCTGAAACTGAGCAGCTCTTCTTCTTCTTCCTTTCTTTCTTTCTGCTCCTTACAGACAAATAAGATGCCAGAGGAGCCCATTGTTTTCCTTCCCTGTTATAGCCCATCTTATTTTCTGGCACTCTTTGTGTTGCTTTTTCCTCTCTGATCATGAAGTTCAGAAGTTCAGAGTGAGCAATGAGGAGAGAGGGATATGCAGGGAGAAAGACAGAAACGGAGTTGAATAACGCCAAGACTGTAATCAAAGCCAGCCTTATTCTTTTCACACTGTTACATCATCTACACACTCATACAACAGGGTCAAGTTTAACTGTCATTTATCTACAGATGGACAGTTCACTGTTTGGCTTGAAGGATCTGTCTTTAAATTATCATGATGACATCGAACTATAAAAATTTACTTGTGTGAAGACAGTGAAGTTGACAGAATATTAGACCCATATGTGATTCTTAAACATCTCAACACGCTGGTGTCACATCCTTCACTCTTCTGTGAAGGTTTTACACAAGTCAGGAATCGGTGCAGGCTTGTCGGCTTCTCCCTCAAACTGGACCAGGGGATCTACATGCATTTGGCCACCTAGTGCATTTGGCATACTGTGAGACTGTGACAAGCATGCATCTCATGAAATGACAGTTGCGCCCTCTACTGGAGGATCAAACACATAGGAGAACACAACCTCCTATGGACATACAGTAATATGCTTAAATGCTTGTAACTGAGCACCACTGTTTAATCATGCTAATGTGCAACAGACTGTAAGAAGAGACACATATTTAGTTTCAAGTTAGCTTATTGTATTACTACTGAAACTACAAAGATTTTGTCTTCTAAGTGGATTGATGTGTATGTAAAATTCAACTTAAAAAGGGACATCATCTGTTTTTGTAGGTGTATTTGTGCCACAAAAGAAGCAGTTTCCTTCTCTGATTAACTGCCCCGGACTCTAATCCAGGTTTATTAAGCTGTCTGCTGATTTTCCTCCATAAGAGGAGTCAACATAAAACCAGTCCGGAACAGACAACACACAAGTTTTCCCAAAATGTCCCACTGTGACTATAACTGCTTAATTGGCTGTGGTCACCACTGCATGGTCTTCGATCGGGTCAGTTTCCTGGTCAGAGCGTGGCGAACCGTCAGCATGTAGGAGCGACGGTCGGGCAGAGGGCGCTGCTGATCCAACACCAGCCTGTCCGACACAACAAACAAAACATCACCGATAATCGCCAGTAACTGCCAAACTACGTGACACATCACAAACACGCAGCGTGGCATCTCCTGTTTGACAGTGTGTCCGTCTGTGGTGCTGGAAATGTGCACTTTCTACTTTCCAAGCTGCTTCTGGAGTTGTCTCATCACTGTCCACAATTTATTTCATCTTTTCAGCTGTGAGTACACTTAAGTATGTCTCATTTTCAGCGCTCAGGTTAGATATGATACAGCTGCAACGCACCTAATGAGTTGAAACACTGTTGCTTCCACAGCTGATACAGCTTCAGCTACAGACAGCTCGTTGAAGCCGCACCTACACACACACACACACACACAAGCAAGCAATTTAATTTCACTTAATTAGCAAAGACAAATACAAGTCACTAGTATTTATCTACTTTACCTATAAACATTATATACAGTGTATGTAAGTTACTCCAAACTGAGTGGGAAACTAATTAGATGTACAGTGACTCCATAAACTTGGCATCTTCTTCTTCCCATTAAAGAATATAAAAATATATAAAAATATACAAGACCACTTAAAAAGTTTTGTATCAGTAGAAACTAATGACTACAGTAGAACGATGCAAACACACACACACACACAAACACACAAACCTTAAATCCTTGGCCAGTCTCTGTCCTTCCTCTGTCGTCACCTCCCGCCCTATTTCCAAATCTGCCTTATTGGCTACAAGCACTGTAGGAACAACTGAGACACACACACACACACACACACACACACACACACACACACACACACACACACACACACACACACACACACACACACACACACACACACACACACAGAGCGTAGACAATAAAACCAAAGTGATGATGCTATCCTGTGTCCTGTTAACACTTGACCTACAGAGCACACGATGGTCTACCAAACATGGAATGTATGTCCACCCCGTGTGTGTGTGTGTGTGTGTGTTTGTGTCTGTGTGTGTGTGGAAAGATGACAATAGACAGACGTCAAACAGAGTATGAACAGAGACTCGCTGCACTTTAAGAGCAAACATAGCGAACACACTGTTCCTCTGCAGATCGTTGCGCTGGTTCAGTGGTTCAACAGCTTGTGTGTTAGCTTGTTGTCTAAGTTACATTTCATGTCTCCAAGTCATTTTTATACAGAGCATTATACTGTCACTGTCAGTGACACTATAATATATAATATAGTTTCTGTCGAGAGGCATCAGAGCTGCAATAATCTTATGGATGGCTTATAGATGTTATAACACATACAGCCTTTACCTTTATGTCATCAAATGAATGACATTAAAGGCCCTATGCACAAGATTTGAAAAGTTTTGACTGCAGCGTCTCCTAGTGGTGCTATTGAAAAAAATAAAAATAAAGACATGTCCTGATGCAGGGTGTCACAGTCAGAGGAGGCTTTAGCACCTTTCCTTCAACGTTCCCTCTGTTAATGAGCGAGTTAGTTCCCTACCCAGACTCTGTTTGGTTTGGTCGATGAGTTTCTTGAGTCGTGGGACCTCCAGGAAGGTGAGGCGCTGCGTGATGGAGTAGAGCAGCAGGAAACCGTCAGCCCAGCGGATAGATGACTCCAGAGAGGCCGCAGAACTCTCCTGGAGAAGATCATGTCTGATAAGTAACCATATGGGAAACACTGACTCACAAAAACATCAGCGAAACATCGTCAGATTTATTGGCATTAATAAAGGAATAGTTCAACATTGGGAAATATGGTTTATAATATTTCCTCCTTTCACCAGTAGTTACATTATGCTGAACTTAATTAACCGCAAGCTAAAACAATTGGGTTAAAGATGAATGAAGTTTTGACTTTGATTAAATTTGACTTGCAAATTAAAGCGCCGCTAATGTTTGTCTATTTTGTTTGGCCTCCATCAACTCAGAGAAAATTAAACGCAAGAAATCCTGACCTTACCTTTTAGCTAATCATGTTTTATGAATGACGTCATATTATATATATATTATAACAAACACAACTGTGTTTCATCTCAGTTATAATTCTGCATGACTGGATGCATTGATGCTGATGCCATTTAAACACATGTTTTGTGCTCTGTGACGCTACAAGGTCGTACAAGTAGAGACCCGAATTTACCTTACAAGCTATATCCAAGATCTCCAGATCAACAGCTTCCTGGTCCACAACCCGACTGCATCTGTAGGTCACCTCTGTGGTACAATAACACACACACACACACACACAGTCAGAGGTAGAATGACGCAGTAATGTAAGCAAACGCAATTGTGATAAACACTTACCCTTTTTATGGTCGTACTCGCCGATGAAGCGCTTGGTCATGAAACGAACGCACAGTGCTAGAGACAAAAAACAGACTCAGTGACTTGGAGAGTGAACGGCCAAAAACACAAGCACACACTCACTGAGTAATATTTCTCTTTTATACTGTACAGTTAGACACATGACGTTTTATTTACACATTTGCATCTGATCTGTATGTTTATGTGTCATTGTCGGTTTAAGAATTTTCCCTGGCTCGTTTAAACAAACACACATTTCTGTGTGTTTGGGCGGAAGGCGTTTGGATGGGTTCATGTATGTTTGACGTCTGTGTCTGTCATTTGAGAGCTCACTGGATTTCCCTCACGCGGGACGCATTTAAAGATCATTCAGGCCTGTTCAGGTTGTTATTTGAGCCTTTACGGATGAGCTTTCATTCATTCTCAGGAACTACAACTTGTAGTTTACCTCCATCACATCACCGCCGCAGACATTTTTGATATCACAAGCTGAGGTGTGGCTGTCTCTGAGATATCTGCTGTTCAAAGCATCAAAAAAAACAAAAACAAATTGTCTGTCAGGCGATGGTTGCTGGTTACTCCGGGCAACCCACAAACCTCAGCTGTCTTCACTAAAACTATGAGTCATATATTCACAGCATTTAAATCAAGGTTATATGTGTAATCTTTGAGGTGTAGTCATAATGTTAGAGGTTATGTCTGCATTAACCATGCATGAAAAGCACAAAAGTCCCTGCAAAGCGATTTCTCATCCCGATCTGTTTTCCCACCATGCAACATCGGGAGACAGGCGGCAAGGTCACAGACATGGTCGGATATGTTTACGCTTCAACGCTCAGGTATAGGGGTCAACTTCAGACCTGTGCAAGGATTCCATATTTAGCAAAACCTCTTAAACCGAGACCCAAAAACTTGACCCTAAACTTAACCTCTTTTATTTCCTTGAGCTGGATTTTTCCCCCACATGAACATGTGACAGCACATCCAAACATATGCTCTTATATAATCCAAACCATGCCAATTGTGTACCTCTGCCTTCTGGTCTACCTGTATTTGTGTGCAGTTCACCTGTTTTTCCAGTGTTCTGAGCTCCCAGAATGAGGAGTTTAACTGGAACCATTTTCCCGCTGGGCCCACTATTAGTCCACTGTTGGTCCCTGCATGAAAACCCTACAGACAAGAGCGGAGAGTCAACGTTAAGTCACAATATATTTACACACAAATGATTACGGAGCTACACACCACAGGCTACTACACCACAGGCTGCAATAATACTGACCTTTATGTAGAAATAACTTCCAGATATAGAGAGGAGTAAAAATAATGAACTCAGTGTTCGGTCTCAAGACACTGAGCAGACTGGGAATGAAGGGAAGGGACTGTCTTCTCTCCTTTTCAGTGTGTTTAAGTGTGAGACTCTCTGCTTGCGTTTTGTTTTAAGAGCTCTCTCTCTCCCCCTCTCTCTCTCTCTGGGAACACTATATGACAAAAACCATTTGTTTGGAGGAGCCGTGTCCAGCTCCAGACACCAGTATCTCATTCCGGATCCATTCAAGACGCATAAACACACTTTTTAAAAAGGGACTTTCAGCGACTTACAATCGCTCCAAAGATTTACCACTTATCCTGAAATGAAGATAAATTCGCTGTGACACCCGGTGTTGCCTCCAAATCCGAAGATTTACTCCTGCCTCGCTGTAATGGTTTTGAGACTCCGCTGAGTGCTGCTGAGCGTTCACAGCTCACTTTCAAAATGTCAAGTGAACTGAATATAGGTTTGTTGTTGTGCACCCAAAAACAAAATCAGTGTGTGTGTGTGTGTGTGTGTGTGTGTGTGTGTGTGTGTGTGTGTGTGAGTCTTTAAACTGAAGCTGCACTTTAAGTCATTTAAACCCGTTTGTGAAGAATGATGGGCATTTGCCCCCTCGGCCAACTCACCAGTGAAGCTTTTTACGAATGTATCGTGAAGCCTCTTTTCTTTCAAACAACAACAAACAGTCCAAGGCGAGTGTGACTCACGCAGTGGCCTTGACATTATCTCCTGTGTGTCAGCAGGCCTGGGCTTAAAGCCAGATTAAACCACATTTCATCAGGGATTTTTTTTGGCAAATGCTTGCCTGTGTCTTTTAACGTTTGAGGTATAACAGTTTAAAGTGCAATTTATTTTCTGCTGGAGGGGCAGAAGTTTATTTTCACAACCTGTAGATTATTTAGTGTAATACAAAAGCAAGGATGATGTTCCTGGTTTGTATGAACTGCTCTGCTTCTAAGAAATGACACCGAGTACCGAGTGCTCTCCAAATGTGCGCCTCAGTTCACGCTGTTCGGAGCAGTGTCAGCAGTGAAGACAAACACTAATATGCAACACAATGACAGAAACCCACTAAACTGGAGTACAGACATTAGTAAGATTTTATTCATATTTCATACGTTTCTCGCTTTTATTCAACAAAGATCGTTCTCAGGGGCGAGAGCGATTTAATTGTGTACAACAAGCACCAAGGACAGCTTTAAGTTAAGGAGCAAGGCTGAGTCTCTTCAGAGAAGAGTGTGTTCTTTTAGCAGATGAGAGTTTTTTTTTTTTTTGGTTGTTTGTGTGTGGGTGTTACTGGGTGTTCAGCAAACCGATGGCTCGTCAACAGCAGCAGCTCCTTCCGTGATGGCTTTGACACATTTGGCCATCGTCTGCGAAGCCCTGCTGATGGAGTCTGAGCACAGAAAAAAGGAGTGGGGGTTTAAGAAGTTTATTTTACAATTTCTATATATATGAATTTTTTCCTGTGTATACACTAAAAAAAAAAAAAAGATACACTTACCTGTCATATAGAAGTCCTTTGCTGTAAGTTGTGGTGGCACCAGAGGAGCTGCTATGAGGTCCTGGTTCACTGTCTGAGAGAGTGAGGAAACGGTTGAATGAAGAGATCTGCCTGATAAATCATCTGAGGAATATGTGTGTATTTGTGTGTGTGTGTGTGTGTGTGTGTGTGTGTGTGTGTGTGTGTGTGTGTGTGTGTACCTTGGCAAGTTCATTTGCTTGTTTGAAGTAGTTCGCCTCCTCTACGTCCTCATAACGGACCAGATTAGGAGAAACCTCAGCTAATCTGGATCGGACCTCGTCCATAGAGTCGTAGGGCAGAGTCACACCAGCCAGCTGCAAACACACAGGGACATTTCTTTGGTCAAATTAACTGTTGATTTGCATTAATGAACATTTGTATATTCTATGTGAGCAACTTCCTGCTCACTTCAGACACAGCTCTGATGATCTTCCAGTCCTCTCGGGCCACTCCTGGTGCAGTGACGGCCACCCGGGTTTGTTGGCTCCTGCCTTCAGTGTTGACATAAGTGGCATTTTTCTCTGTGTATGCTGCACCAGGTAGGATGATGTCTGCCATTGGTGCTCCTACATCACCGTGGTGACCTGGAGGAGTTGAAAACATATATAAATATAATATCAAAAATTAGTGATTTTGGATTCTTACTTTTACTCTCATGTTATCTACTGAATGCCTTGTGTGTGTGTATGTGTTAATGTGTTAATGTGTTAATGTGTTAGTGTGTGTGTGTGTGTGTGTGTGTGTGTGTGTGTGTGTGTGTGTGTACCCTGATAGATGATGAGGCTGTCTTTAGGCAGGTCAGCTCTGGTGATGCAGCCGGCATCAGCTCCCAGCAGGAACAGCACTTTGGGTGGATTCTTCCTGATGGCGTCCACACCGGCCTTGTAACCCAGATCTAATGCTGCCACTTGACTCGCCACTCTGGTTACACACACACAAAGTATGAGCAGGAGGCATCTCCTGTATTTCACTCATAGAGGCTTTAAAACGTTGCCACTGTACCTGTGCAGGACATTAAGGACTTTCCATCCCTCCTCCACTCCACTGCTGGTTCTGGCGTTCTGAGCGATGGTGGAGACGGTGCTCAAAATGGCGGCTCCGTCTTCTCTCTGCAGAGCGCTGCTGCCCACGATCACTACCGGACGCTTAGCAGCTGAAAGGACCTGGAGACAGAGGAAAGGAGAGGAAAAATTAAAATAAAAGTCCCGAGACGTCCAGCTGAGAACTGTCAAACTGTATGTGCGTCCATTACCTGGCAGAAGGGGTGTGTGCCGTTAGCCAGCTCCTTCAGCACTGAAGTGTCCTCTCCCAGGTGGTCGTATGTGTAGCTCAGGTCAACATTGTGACCCACCATGGCAACACGCAGCTCATTATGGAGCCAGCTGCCAGAGGAGGAACACAGGGCAGAAAGTTAGCAGAGTGCAACTTTGTTGGGAAAGGGAGAAAGTAGCTCAGTAACAGTGAGCGAAATATTGACTGTAAAGTGTGATGTCTGGAGTTTACCTCTTGCGGATTCGGGCGTTGAACAGTGGGGCTTCATAACGTGGGTTGGTTCCTATGAGCAGCAGCAGGTCGCAGTCCTCAATGCCAGCGATGCGGGTGTTCAACAGGTAGTTGGAGCGCAGGTCAGTGCTGCAGAGAGAGCAAAAAATAATAACAACACTGTTGGAACACTTCACTTTGTTTAAGCTCATAACCTTCACAAACACATGAGCAGACTCACCCTGCCCCCGCTGTAGGGAAGACCTCCTCGGTGCACAGGTTTTCTGAGTCGAGTCTGTTGAGGAGGTCTTTGAGGGAGATCAGAGCTTCGGCGTCAGCCATCCCTCCTGCTATGGCTGCGACCTCACTGCCCTGCACGCTCTGCAGCTACACACACACACACACACACACACACACACACACACAGACACAGACAGGCATTTATGAATACAGGCAAGAAAATGTAATACAACTAAAACGCCAAAGAGAATGCCTCAGCTGTCATTAATGACCTCCAGTAACAGACAGAGACACATTTGGCTCCCTGAAAACAAAAACATGAATATCACCATCTCCCATCAACAACAAACAGGTCACATAAAGAAGCAAACACAAACTTACTGCTCCAGCAACACGAGTGAGAGCGTCCTCCCAGGTAGTGGGGGTCAGCTGACCTGAATCATCCTTCACCATTGGCTGGGTCAACCTCTGTCTCTTCAGACCATCATATGAGAACCTGAGGACGCACGTGTTAGGATTGTAGTTCTTTAGTCGAGCTACATAGCAACAGATATAACTTTTTTTTAAGTGGATTCATTCAATCTGTTTCAGTTTCTTTAATTCACTCTTAACTTACTTAATTCACTCTGAAACATGTCAGGTTTATACTTTCTGTCTTGGGTCTGTCTGTGTCTCACCTGGTCTTGTCAGAGATCCATTCTTCGTTGACGTCTTCATTCAGCCTGGGCATCACCCTCATTACCTCACCTCCTCTTGTGCTCACCACGATGTTACTGCCCACGGCATCCAACACGTCGATTGACTCGGTTTTCCTGCAAAGACAGTAGAAGATGAGACTAAAGAAAAAGGTACGACAGAATAGGACACAAAGATGAACACGCTAGCTTTAAACTGCTAAAACAAATCCTTTCCAGGTTTTTTTTTTTTTTTTTTTTTTTAAAGCTCAAATCTGCAGTAACGGACTAATCTGGATAACACCTAGTCCACCAGCTTAACTGAAGTATCAGACTCGATCCTACCTGGTCTCCCATGGTCGTGCAGTGAAAGCGTAGGGTTTGGACGTGAGCGCTCCAACAGGACAGACATCTATGACGTTCCCCGACAGCTCCGACATAAACATCTTCTCTACATACGTCCCGATCTGCAGGTTGTTTCCTCTTCCTGTTGTTCCCAAGTCTTCAACACCAGCGATCTCACTGGCAAAACTTCAAATAAAAACACACACACAGGAATGAATGAATGAATGAATATGCAGTTAAGAGGATCTCATAAATTTCGCCACTTGAAAAGACGTTAGCAAACAATCAGATTATCACATTATTCCAGATAAGTACTTACCGGACGCAGCGTGTGCACTGGATGCAGCGGGTCATGATGGTTTTGATGAGAGGTCCGATGTTTTTGTCCTCCACTGCTCTCTTCGCTTCTGAGAAACGACTGCGGTCTGAACCAAACTGCATGGACTGATCCTGGTGACACAGCATACACGCAATTATTCAATGATTTAGGCAGCACAAACTCAATTCCATTGTTTTACAGTCACAGCTGATGCCTCAGCAGCAGCAGCAGCTGTGTCTATTTGCATGGC